AAAAAAAAAAAAAAAAAACAGAAAACAGAGAGACTGCGAGAAAAAATGGCGTTGTGCACTTCGACATAGAGAAAAACTCTATTTTCTCGCGCACGTCTCTTTCTCTCTCTAAAAACTCTCTGTATCTATCGGCTCCGACCACCGACTTCTTCTCGTCGTCCCTCTATCCTCCATTGCCGTCCTCAAGCTGAAATTTCACCTCCATTCGCCCCACATTACCATTTTTTGGTCGTAATTTTCTCAGGTGAAAAACCAAACCGAAGGCAAAATGGTAACAACTCTTCGTCCTTTGCGTTGTCATTTGCTTTTTTTTTTTTTCGCTTTTGGTCGTTGTTCCTGAAACTACGAAGCTAGAGAAAGGAATTTTAGCTGGCGTTTATTTGCCCTTTTTGTTGATGCTAAAGATGGTGTGATTTGTTTTGCAATTGGAGATACGTTTAGCTCAGCTGAGATGATGAAACCTTTCTGTTTTTTCGTCAACCTTTTTTCCATAATTGATTGTGTTGAAATGTTGGCTGTAATGGGTTTGTGGACGACAGTTTTGACTCTTTTCTGTGGATAAATTTGTTTCCAGGTGGTGCTGCACCGAAATCCGGGTTTTCTGGGTAGTAGTTTGTAGTGGGCATGTCCATATGCCATGGGGAAAAATATGGTCACATAAGAAAGCCTCCATGGTTCTTTACATGATACGGTAGATAGTTGATTAGCATTTGAGTTTCACAATATTGTGACAAAAGAAATGGCTGGGGGAAGAATAAGGGCGAAAATCCGTAGGAGCAATCTCTACACTTTTGCTTGCCACAGGCCACGCCCTTTTGAGGAAGGTGAGGTGCAAGAAGTCCAAGGGCCCGGTTACTCGAGAATCGTACATTGCAACCAGCCCCGTATTCATGAGCAAAAGCCTCTCAAATACTGCACGAACTATATCTCGACCACCAAGTACAATTTCCTCACCTTCCTTCCAAAGGCGATTTTCGAACAATTCAGACGTGTCGCCAACTTGTATTTTCTCCTAGCCGCAGCCTTATCACTTACTCCCGTAACACCGTTTGCTCCTCTAAGTATGATTGCCCCACTGGTGTTTGTGGTTGGCTTGAGTATGGCTAAAGAAGCTCTTGAAGACTGGCGAAGATTTATACAGGATATGAAGGTCAACTTGCGAAAAGCTAAGCTACACAAGAAAGAAGGTGTGTTTGCTCCTAAACCCTGGATGAAGCTTCGGGTTGGAGATATTGTGAAAGTTGAGAAGGATCAGTTTTTCCCTGCAGATTTGCTGCTTTTGTCCTCGAGTTATGAAGATGGGATTTGTTACGTTGAGACAATGAATTTAGATGGTGAGACGAATTTGAAGGTTAAACGAGCCCTTGAGGCGACTCTACCCCTTGATGATGATCTGACATTTAAGGAATTTCGTGCAACCATTCGTTGTGAGGATCCTAATCCTAACCTCTACACTTTCGTGGGCAAGCTTGAATATGGTGACCGTGTCTATCCCCTTGATCCTAGTCAGATTCTGCTCAGGGACTCAAAGCTTCGTAACACGGCCTACATTTATGGAGTGGTGATATTCACCGGTCATGATACTAAGGTTATGCAGAACGCTACAAAATCCCCTTCAAAAAGAAGTAGGATAGAGAAGCAAATGGACAAAATAATATACATTCTTTTCAGTCTTCTAGTGTTCATGTCATTCATAAGCAGTGTGGGTTTTATCGTGAAGACTAAATACGATCTGCCAAAGTGGTGGTATTTACAGGTCCCAGATGACAAAGGTCTGTTCAATCCTAGGAATCCGCTAAAGTCGGGATTTTATCATCTCATCACTGCTCTTATGTTGTACGGATATTTGATACCGATATCCCTCTATGTGTCTATTGAGGTCGTAAAAGTCCTACAAGCTCTATTCATGAACCAGGATATCCATATGTATGATGAAGAGACTGGGACTCCTGCTCAGGCACGAACATCAAACTTAAACGAGGAATTAGGACAGGTTGACACAATCTTATCCGATAAAACTGGGACATTGACTTGTAACCAGATGGACTTTTTAAAGTGCTCCATTGCTGGCATTGCATATGGTACCCGTGCTAGTGATGTAGAACTTGCTGCTGCCAAACAGATGATCATGGAGGGCGAAAATGAAAGAAATGGACACAATTTTGAGGAATCAGAAATCCAATTGGAGACTGTTGTTACCTCGAAAGATGGCGAAGCTCCAAAACCTTCAATAAAGGGTTTCAGCTTCGAGGATAGCCGGCTTATGAATGGGAATTGGTTTAAAGAACCGAACGAGAATGTTATTTTATTGTTTTTCAGGATATTATCACTCTGTCACACAGCAGTCCCAGAGCAAAATCAAGAGACAGGGGCCTTGACTTACGAGGCAGAATCACCTGATGAAGGCGCATTTCTTGTTGCTGCTAGAGAATTTGGTTTCGAGTTCTGTAGGAGAACGCAGTCAAGTGTTTCTGTACGTGAGAGGTATCCTTCATTTCAAGAGCCGATTGAAAGGTGAGACCACGAGGCATTTAGTTTTAACTACCTTGTTGTTAATTAGTTTATCATGGAACATGTTGCTTGACTCATAATTGTTTTTTCTGTCTACTCAGGGAGTTCAAAGTTCTCAATCTGTTGGATTTCACTAGCAAACGGAAGAGAATGTCTGTAATTATTAGAGACGAGAAGGGGCAGATTCTTCTTTTGTGCAAAGGAGCTGATAGGTTTGTTGTCAGTTATGCATGCTTGAATTTTTTTGTTATGTCCAAAAGCAGATATTGAATAATTAACATTCGTTGTTAATAAGAAAATAAAAATGCATTAAAGAATAAGTTGTTTCAGTGTACTGCAGCATTTCGGAAAAAAAAAAAAAGAAAAAAAGAATCATAAGTAAACAGAAAAAGAAAATTAAAGATCATGCTATATTAAGCTTTTCACCGAGTTTAATGCATTTGTTTGTTACAGCATCATCTTTGACCGGCTAGCGAAGAATGGCAGAATGTATGAAGAAGCCACCAGAAAGCATTTGAATGAATATGGAGAGGCTGGGTTACGAACACTCGCACTTGCTTACAAGAAACTCGATGAGGCAGAGTATTCTTCGTGGAATGAAGAGTTTACCAGTGCAAAAACCACATTTGGCAGTGACAGGGAGGCAAATCTTGAGCGGATTTCTGATAAAATGGAAAGGGAGTTGATACTGGTTGGTGCCACTGCTGTGGAAGACAAATTACAGAAAGGAGTATGTCATAATTCGTATAACCTGTTGACTCGAATTGTATTGTATGTCTTTGTGTCTGTTTATGTTTTAGTTATGTTCTCATGTTGTGGGAGTTGTGCATGTTTGATTTGATTCTTGTTTACTCTTGTTATATCCCTTTTTACTTCTGCATAGGTGCCTCAGTGCATTGACAAACTAGCACAAGCTGGTCTAAAGATCTGGGTTCTGACAGGTGATAAGATGGAGACTGCAATTAATATAGGGTCCGTTTCTCACCATCAGAATAAGGATATTTTTCGTAAGATTCTTTTACAATGAGACCATCAAGCTTTTTAAGTCCCAAACTGAAGTCTTGCAATTACGATGCAGATTCGCTTGTAGTTTGCTTCGGCAGGGCATGAAACAAATATGTATAACAACGTACGCAGAGACACCAATCCAACAGGTACTGTTTATGAAAGGACTTCAAATAATATGCGAGAGAGTTCAGTTGATTTAAGGTAACCTTTGTTTTTTGGTTGTCAGTAGAAAGCCGCAAAGGAGGATATATTACTGCAAATTATCAATGCAACTGAAATGATCACGATGGAAAAGGATCCACATGCTGCGTTTGCCTTAATCATTGATGGCAAAACTTTGACTCATGCACTGGACGATGACATGAAGCATCACTTCTTAAATTTAGCCGTTCATTGTGCGTCTGTCATATGCTGCCGAGTTTCACCCAAGCAAAAAGCCCTGGTAAGATATTCAAATGATTTCACTCAGCGAATTCCGTTATTTTCTCATACTCGACTATCAGGGTACTCTCATGTGATTTTCAGTTATTGTTACCTCTATCTCACTCTTGAGTTATTTGCCAATCAGGTTACAAGATTAGTAAAAGAAGGAACAGGAAAAATCACGTTAGCAATTGGCGATGGTGCGAATGATGTTGGTATGATTCAGGAGGCAGATATTGGTGTTGGTATCAGCGGATGTGAAGGAATGCAGGTTTTAGTGATGAATCTGTGTCACTTATGTACAAATAATTCTCAAAACTACATATTTGGGCGTGACTGAAACACTGAAGAAATATTGTCAATATTACTCCACAAGTGTGTTCAACAATCATTAAATTCAGTTCTATGTTCAATACCAGTTTATGGAATTTTTTTATTTCTGGATGCCCTAAATAAACATACTTAAAGTTCCCTACTTTGTTCTGAACTTTGAAAAATCAAGAGCTGCACAATTTAGTGAAGATATTATCGTGGTACAATTCATTAGTCCATGATGCTTAAGTCAGATCTTTTGTCTTCAATATGTGTTAAAAATTGGAATATCTCCAAGGATTTAGCGGTGGATAAGAGCGCTTGGAGGCTAACGATCAACGTGCCGGAACTGTGACTTTTGCTCCTTTCTCCTTTGCTCCAATCTCTTTCTTTTGTTTTGTTTGAGTTTTGTTTTGTTTTGTTTTGTTTTGTGTTGTTTTGTTTTGTTTTGAGCCCTTTTTTGTGTTTCTTACCACTGTTTCTCTTGGGTTTCATCTCTAGCCTACCCCGACTTGTTTGGGACTAAAAGACTTTGTTGTTGTTGTTGTTGTTGTTGTTGTTGTTGTTGTTGTGTATGTGTTATAAATCAATTATACTCGTTGGCAGGCTGTGATGGCAAGTGATTTTGCGATTGCACAATTTAGATTTCTGGAGAGGCTTCTGGTCGTGCATGGACACTGGTGTTACAAAAGAATTGCTCAAATGGTAATCTTTACGAGTTGATTTACTAAAGTTCTCTGTGCCATTTGAAGCTTTCTAGTCTATACTGGAAATATCAAATGTTTCTTCGTCTCTTCTGTAATAATTCTATACATGTTCACTCCGAACATGGATGCATGAACCCACATTTATGCTATTTTGGTTGGTTCTAAACTGAACTGCAATTTTCTCTATGCAGATTTGTTATTTCTTCTACAAGAACATTGCATTTGGACTGACTATCTTCTATTTCGAGGCATTTGCTGGTTTTTCTGGACAGTCGGTGTATGATGACTGGTACATGCTGCTGTTCAATGTTGTTCTCACGTCATTGCCCGTCATTTCACTTGGAGTCTTTGAACAGGATGTCGATTCTGAAGTATGCCTGCAGGTTAGTTATTTTAAACCCTTCAAACCAAAGTTTATGCAGTTCAACAGTTACGCTATCCAATGCATTACAGTGTCCAATCAACCAAAAGTCCTTCAACAAAGTTGACTAAAGTAACAGGTTATAAGTTGCTTAACACGACCAGATATAAAAGATACAAGCGCTATCTACCTGAGTTAGTAGAATTGACTATTGCCACATATAAGTACTTGAAATATGCATACAAACGAATCGAGTACAAAAACTTACTCTTACAGTTTTACTAGTCCACCCCATTTCTCATTTAGAGTTACCAAGCAGACTATGTTTGGTAGACCAATAAGCTAGCTTATAGCTTATTTGGTTAGCATATAAATTTCCTGTATTTAAATAAGCTTCATTTGGTAGAACGAACTTTTTTAAAATGTTCAAGCTATCTCATAAGCTTCTTTGGGTAGCTTTTCAAATAAGCTCGTTGAAATTTGTATTTCAGCTAGCTTATCAGCTAATTTTACTAAACACTTTTATCATATAAGCTAGCTTTTCATATATAATTCATAAGTTATAAGCTCAAAAATCACTTATAAGGTATCAGCTAGCTTATCAGCTATCAGTTAGCTTATCAGCTAGTTCTACACACGAATATTTCATCATATTCAATTTTGGCCCTTATTGACCCACAAACATTCCACAATGCAGTTCCCGGCCCTTTACCAGCAAGGCTCGAAGAACCTCTTCTTTGACTGGCAGAGGATATTCGGGTGGATGGCCAATGGCCTGTACACATCCCTCATCATCTTCTTCCTCAACATCATCATCTACTATGACCAGGCTTTCCGGGCCGGTGGCCAAACGGCCGACATGATTGCCGTGGGGACTGCCATGATGACATGTGTCATCTGGGCCGTTAATTCCCAGATTGCCCTTACCATGTCCCACTTCACCTGGATACAACATATTCTCGTCTGGGGAAGTGTCGTCACATGGTATTTCTTCCTCCTTGTCTATGGCGATCTCCCGTATGCTCTTCAGGTCAATGCCTTTAGGGTCCTCCGGGAGGTTTTAGCTCCGGCACCTATTTACTGGTCGGCCACTCTACTTGTGACCGTATTGTGCAACTTGCCGTATTTTGTGCACATTGCTTTCCAGAGGTCGTTTAACCCGCTCGACCATCACGTGATTCAGGAGATTAAGTATTATAAGAAGGATATTGAAGACGGGCAAATGTGGAGACACGAGAGGTCGAAGGCTCGGGAGAATACGAAAATCGGGTACACGGCAAGGGTGGACGCGAAAATCAGGCAGTTGAGAGAGAGGCTTCAGAAGAAATACTCGGTGATTAGTTGCCATACTGTTGCACAACAATAATAAGTTATTGTTGATGATACCTGTATAGAGTTTGTGTGACATTTTTGATTCATTCTTGTTTGCTAAAGTACACTGTACATATATAATGTGAGTTTCAACTTGAGGTGACTTTTTTTTTTCTTTTTTATTCTTTTGGTGATTCTTTATTAAACTGAGGCATTGTGAGGCTTCTGTATATGTAAAACATTTTTATGTATAGTATGGGCTTCTTGAAAAAATAGCAGGCTTGAGCTCGAGAGTTGACTCGTTTTCTGAGCGTTGTGTTTATTTGAAATACACTAAAGCACGTTTTATTATACCGTTTATATATGTGGCAAGAAATTATCACATCATATTAGAAAGATCTCAAGGAGATGTTACGGTCATGTTACGAAATCATTTCGTCGAGTTTGTAACCGTTAGATTAACAATCCTCGACGGTTACTTGATGATCTAACGGTTACAAATTTCAACGGAATGATTCCGTAACAGGACTCTAGCATTTCCCAAAAACATATACTTTTTGTATATAATATCCCACTTTTTTCAAATACAATAAAGTAACATAAAAAGGACATCATGAGTAATGGCTGGATTCAAATAATTTGACCCTCTATACTTAAAAAAAAAAAACACAAAAAAATAGTTAAGTTTTAAATTATTTAGTACCAAATCAACTAAAAATTGTCACCCTCTATATTTAAGAAATCTAGACGATAGCTAGATCATGTACCATGAAAGAAGCAGAAACAATTCAAGAAAAAAAATATACAATTAGGAAAAAAGTAAAGGAAGAAAAAACACACATTTATCAATAAATCAATTATGATTTAACCAAAAATTTGGGCCAAAATCCAAAATACGTTACATACCTATAGACCAAAATTGCATTAGTATTAAACTCGCCCCACCCTAGATGAACACTCAAGAATCCACACTCCCAGTTTCACAAGGGCCTGGGCAAGATTAAAAACCTCTGCAAAATTAAACTAAAACAACAAACAAGTAAGCAATAAAAACCATCACCTAAGCAAACAAAAATATTTCTTCCAAAAAACAAAAAAAAACCTCCAAAACAGCCCCATTTTAGCATTTATCAAGAAAACAAAACTCGATCGAATCTCACAGCCTCAAAGCAGGTCAGCAACATTCGACGGAAGCTCCTCAACCACCACATTGTAAAACTTCTGAATATCGTGAAGCATCTTCTCATCATCCTTAGTCATGAAATTAATCGAGACACCTTTTCTCCCGAACCTCCCACTTCTCCCGATACGGTGCAGATAGTTCTCGGGCTGTGTCGGGAGATCATAGTTTATCACGAGCGACACTTGCTGCACGTCAATCCCACGAGCCAATAAATCGGTCGTGATGAGAACCCTAGACGAGCCAGAACGAAACTCGCGCATGATGATGTCACGCGTGTTCTGGTCCATGTCACCGTGTGTGGCCGACACAGTGTGGTCCCGGCTGCGCATCTTGTCGGTCAACCAGTCAACTTTTCGTCGGGTGTTGACAAAGATGACACTTTGTGTGATGGCGAGAGTCTCGTAAAGGTCGCATAGGGTTTCGAGCTTCCATTCTTCCTTCTCGACGTTGACATAAAACTGCTTGATACCCTCGAGGGTCAACTCGTCCCGTTTGACCAGGATGCGAACGGGCTTGTTCATGAATTTGCGGGTGATTTCCAAGGCCTCGGGGGGCATGGTGGCGGAGAAGACGCCAACCTGGACCTTGGCGGGTAGCAACTGGAAGATGTCGTAAATCTAGCAAAAAGAAAAGTAAGTTACTTGATGAGCGAAAAAAGATCAACAATAAGGAGAAAAAGTAAGGGTTCTTTATAGAGGAGAAAAGATGTGCCAGAAGAGCCAAACCCGTAAGCCATTCAAACAAAGGCATACAAGCATTAAACTTCTGATCGTGTTTTGGGATGAAAGCAAAAGGGGCTTTTATCAAGCAATGTAAGACTAAAAATGTCTGTACAAATGATATACCTCTTTTTACATCCTCATCTCATAATATTTATCAAGCCCAAACAAGATTTTCTCAAGACAAAGCTCTTTGATAAAAAAGTTGAAGATAGAATAGTGCTGAAATAGTTCTCACAGAACGGAAGTTTTTAAAAGTACGCAAGGTATAAGATGTTGAGATGGCAACCTCAAAATTAATTTTTTTTCAAAAAAAAGTTCTAGTAGTTTTCTACTTATTTGGTAATCAATCACGAATGATGGGGGACAAGCAAGTAGTGAAATTTATAGGGAATTCATGTTAGCAAGAAACCAAGAAATTTTCAACTACTTATAAAATCTCCAAGTGTCGTCCAATCAAAACAAGAAATGTAAGCTCAAATCAGCAAATTCCACAAAGTAAAGTGGCATAAAAAAGACATACCTGATCCTTAAAACCACGAGAAAGCATCTCATCGGCCTCATCCAACACAAACATCTTGATGTGGTCGGCACGAAGTGATTGCCTCCTCAGCATGTCGAACACACGGCCAGGTGTCCCCACAACAACATGGACCCCAGCAGAAAGAATCCTCTGGTCCTCACGAACACTGGTCCCACCCACACAAGCATGAACCTTAACTCCAAGGTAGTCACCTAGGGCCCGCATAACCTTCTCAATCTGCTGAGCGAGTTCTCGAGTAGGTGCAAGAACCAAGGCCTGGCACTGAGTCAGACCATAGTCGAGCTGCTGCAAAATACCCGAGCAGAAAGTGGCAGTTTTCCCAGTTCCAGACTGTGCCTGCTGAATGACATCAAGTCCCTTGCAGAAAGGTACGATGCCCCTCTGCTGGATGGCTGAGGGCTTCTCAAAACCTTCACGTAAAAAATTTCTTCTTGAATAACAAAACATATACATTACTAGAAATGAATGAGGAAGGTACCAAAAAGTCCTTTTTTTCTTTGCCAGGGGGACATACCATAGGCATAAATGCCTCTGAGGAGATTCTCCTGCAGTCCCATAGCATCAAAACTATCATAAACCTCATCGTAAGAAGTAAAGAACTCCTGCCCATCAACTTGGAGCCTACATCAGATAATTTAATATCACAAAAACGCCAAAATAATACAATGGCATTTGCTAAGGCTGATAATCTCAACCAATAGTACTCAGTACACAATTATATCCAAAACTTACAATTCCATTTTTTCGTCAAACTGACGAGCATCAAATTGTGATCCTTCTGTTGCCGCCATGCTGCAGTCCATAAGATGCATTAGTAAATTTATACATATAAATCCAATAAATTAATAATAATGAAAGGCATCACTAAAACATTCCAGTGATGACCTCCTCTTTAACTTTAAATGGAGATAGAGAATTAAATCAATCTATCAACTAAAATTGAAGTGGCTACATAAATTAATGAAAAATCAAGCAACGGGCCACAGGAGCAAGAACATATTTCTTTCAGATAAGAGATGTCGTAAAAGCTCCAAACTTGAATACCATTCTATTTGGAGGACATGCATTAAACTTATGTTTCATGTTCAGGGATGATAAGAAAATAGGCAAGGGGCTCATCACCCAACGCAGACTATATTGGTTACTCATAATAGTAACTTATTTTTCTATTGCCCAATATAAATTATATATATATATAAAAAAAAAGATCTCTCAATCAAAAAAGATACACACACAAACACACACACACACACACACATATATATAACTATCTTTTGACCTAAAAAGCTATCACGCAACGCTGTTAACAACTCTAACTCTACAAGATCACAGTCCATACCTATCGTATACATCATCATCACCAAATTTATCGCAATGCCATTAACATAATCCTCGAGGATAACAGAATCAGAAACATAAAAAAAAACACCTGATTTCAAGATCCTTACACACAAATACGAATCTAACAAAAATTCTCGAGCACAAACATACACATCAAATTGAACGCATCAGCTTTCACATCACAGCAACGTATAAGCACCGATCAAAATCAGACTGCCCACAGATGAACTCAACAATGCAAATCTACAAAATTAAGGTGCAAAAAACAGAAAGAGTGAATTCCGATCGAACCTTGGAGATTGAAAAGAGATAACACTTGCTACGAGATTGATTAATTCGCTAAAAAACTCCTCGGATCTGCGCCGTGGAGTTGAAGAACAGAGACGGTGAAGAGCTTTGGCTTTGTTTTTTGGTTTGCAAATAACCAATAGGTGCTTTAAGGTTTCTCCTATTTATAATGAAATTTGCGGCTAGGGCAAATAACAAAATTGTTGGTCTATGACAAATAGATGTACACGTACATAAAATAGGAGTACACGTCAACATGTGGTAGGAAAGTATAAAGGTTGAAATAGTTGTGTTGGGCTGTAACTCCATTTTGGGCCTTTAAAAATTAAACTCTTTATTGATTGAAATTGGAGGGCCCTCTTGTTTTTTAACGATAAGGTGGCATATTGTGAAATACTACGGTTCTGTTACGGTACCATCTCGTCGGGTATTGTAATCATTGGATTATCTATTATTTAACTGTACGTGGATCCGACGACTAAAACACTCGACGGGATAGTACAGTAACAGGACCGTAACATTTTTCTCTGTTTATATTTTCTTTTTTAAATATGACATTCTATAATGAAAATATCTATACCTATCTCGGTCTAATAGTCACGCCGGCCTAACAGAAAATCAAATGTTTAATTATCTTTATATTAATCTATATATATATAAAAATATTTACCATTTTTCAAAAATAGCAGGTCAAATTTTGGTCAAAATCATTTTGCATTAATTACATTACATTTTTAGTAACTTTTCTTTTTTCTATTTTTCTTTTTTTTTTTATAAAAAGGCAACATTAAATTCTATCCATTAATTAAGGATTTTGTTATTTTGGTTTTCAACCAAAACTATGAATGTTGTCTATTATTTGGGACTGATGTTGTTTTATTTTTAAAAATTATGTTTAATAAAAAGAAATAACTACATATTACTCTAAATTACTGGATAATTAAATTGTCTTTCTTTGCGTCTTCATTTGCTTAATAAATTAATTAGTGTTGATTTAATACTCAACGGGTCAAACATTTTTTTTTTATTTCAAATTAAGAAATAAATATGTAACTGATAAAAAAAGAATTAAATATGTATAGATAATATATTAATTATTTTACAAGCTAACCCTAATATACAAGTGAAAAATATATGATAACCCTATTGATTTTCAGACTTAAACGAACAAAGTTGTCTGAAAATAATTCATTTAATATCTATGTCCCGTGCATTGCACGGGGTACGTACTAGTATACATTAAGATGATAGACTGATAACTATATATGAAAATGATTTTTCCCCGCCCATTTTATTGTTCTAATTTTGGAAAGTTTATATTTGAATTTTATTTTGATAGTAAGTGATTAAACTACCTCCATACATATTGGAATGTAGAATTGAAAGTCAATGTCTCATTTTAATGTACATTGTATTTATGTTAATGAAATAAAAAAAAAAAAATACCAAAGCACATAAAAAACGTATATTAATGTGTATAAAAAATAACAATAATTGTGTTAATATACACTTAATTTATATTTGATAAAAGTATTTTATGTTTCAATAATGCTTACCAAATAAATGAGTTATTGAACAAATCTAAAATGGAATGACTATACTGTTTTTTGCTAAATAAAACTATTAATTAAGTTTCAATGACTACATACAACTCCAGTTAAATAAAATGGAAGACATATGTTTCCGTCTAGAAACTACTCTTATATTTAAAGGTCAGAAATTCTATGGTGCTCATATGGGCACCATAAGTAGGGCTGCAAACGAGCCGAGTCGAGTCGAGCATTGGCCTTATCGAGCGGATTGAATTTTTTTTTTTTGAGGTGCTCGAGCTCGAGCTCGAGCTCGTCGAGCTCGATTTTTGGTGCTCGAGCTCGACTCGATCAAAACATACAAGAGCTCGAGCTCGACTCGAGCTCGACTCGAATTCATAATGCTCGAGCTCGGCTCGAGTTCGGCTCGAATTTTTTCAAGAAATTTTGTAAAATAACCATTAATTACATATATATACAAGGGTATTTTAGTAATTTCACATATCTCGATCTGCTTGCGAGCCGCTCGACAATGCAATATATGGGCTCGAGCTCGACTCGAGATCGGTCAAACTCGAGCTCGAGTCGAGCTTTGACTCGAGCGCTCGCGAGCGGCTCGCGAGCTGCTCGACTCGTTTGCAGCCCTAACCATAAGCCATGCCACAATGTGATGTAGCATATGAGATGGCCTTTTTGTTTTTAATTAACAATTCCACCATGGTATATGATTGGCTTTTTTAAATATTTAATCAATTAGAACAATTAAGAAACTTAATTCATTCATATTTCCCAAATCGCAACCTCACTTAATTTACTCATATTTCCCAGCAGCACCAAATTCACACCACTATGGGCTTTTACAGTAAACTAAGAATTTGTCGACTAGAATATGCTTAGTATTTGGAAGTTTGAAGTACTTGTCGGGTAGTATTCACTCCAACGTTGCATTTCAGCGAGTAAACTAAAAAAGTTAGCGAATAACTTGAGCGATGAATTTTGATCAAGCTAAATCGAGTAGTGGGATTTGGACATGAAAAACTTTTAAACTATAGGTGTCTAGAGTTATACCGTTATATTAATTTACGAAAGGTAGATCCACAATAGAGTTCGAGTTTATAATTTGGATAAGGTCGTGGAAGAAACTTAAATGACTTATAAATTTTCCAAAAGATATCTTGTTGAAATAAAGTGTGCCTACTGTGATAATTCTTTTGCGATTTGCGATAGTCAATTGGTGATGGAAAAGGTATAAAGTAATTTTTATAATAGTAAGTCCAGACATAGACGTGGAAGACTTGAACTCATAAAACAATTTCATAAAACAAGTTATGTGAGTGTTGTGCTGCAATTCACTACATATGTTTTTTCACCTCAGTTGGGGAATTTTGAGAACTTGAAGATTTGAATTATGTATCAAGATATCGAAGTTGGTGATGTAGTACTTATAAGAGAGTTTTACATGATAGACCAGAAAAAATGGATTATACGTTCCTGTAATCCAGGTAAGTTATTTCTCTATCATACATTGTTCTTTATCCTCAAGAAAATAATCTGAATTCCTCAAATTTGGCAGGATGCAGACAAGAAAGGTAAAAATGGAGGCTTAGAATAGAATGAATGCATTGAAAATTTCTTCTTTGGCATATCATAGGTTGTGCCATTGATCTATAAATGGTATTGGCAACTAGATCAGCAAATTAAGTGAGCAGTTCACGTGCACTCAAGTCAAAGTGTAGCTCGAGCATTTGTCGAGCTCAAACTCAGGGCTGTAAGTTATAAGCCTGAGTGCTCGACACGAGAATAAAGGAAAATACTGAAAAACACCTAACTCTAACTAAACTTGAGCAAAACTTGAGAAAAAATCTTATTTGAATAGAGAAGTTTTATGGACTATTCTACCGAAACTCGAGCTGATGAAACTCGTTTGTATATATTTTTGTCGAGCTGAGCGATATGGTAAATGCTCGACTCAATTGGGCTCGCTTGTAGCCGTATTGGTAACCAAGCATAAAAAGGTTCATAGTATACCTTCAACAAACATAATTTCAATTAAGCAATGGGCAAACAACCCGCAAAATCCAATTAAAGAGCATCTTGAAAGCAATGTTTGCAAAGTGGTTCTCCATTTAGCCACAAGCAACCATGGAATTATGGAAACACACGTAAAAATACGTCTACATGGAAACACACGTAAAAATACCAAATTTTTAGTTCTCCATTCAGTCACGAGCAAACAAAAATATATCAAAATTTCCACCTATCACATTTCTCAAGATCTTTGCAACCACATAACCAATAGATACATTTGTGGATTAAAATTTCTCAGGTGTTTCTTTAAACATCAGCTTGCCTAAAAATGTTTTAAACCAAGTTAACAGCCGATCAGGCCATAGAGATAAACTGTCATGCAGGGTCGGGAGTTACAAATTTTCATATGGCACTAAACAGGAAAGCCACAGCTATGAGAACTGTGTGTATGTATCTGGGCACCTCTGCACCTCAGATATTTATCAAAACAATAGTTTAGTACATCATATTGTTCACACGGTATGAGGGATGACAACTTAATACCATCAGCAATTCCAAACTATTAATTGATTGGGGATGAATACAAACAAAATCTGATTACTTACTCCTCTATCTTTGTTGTAGCACATGAACCAAAAACCAAAAGGAAAAATCTCACCTTTTCCACTACCTAGATAACTAGATATACACTGATGGTCGGTGAAATTACTTCTGTTATGCAACTGTAAGTTACTATCTTTCCAAAAACCCCAAATCCTAAGCACACAAGTTCGAACATCATCATCTTCTAAGTTAACAGATAATAAGTACATATAAGTAGCATTCTCCAATGAAACCCCTTTCGACCTAACTCAACTGCTAACTCACAAAGATTTTCCCATAACATAATCAACAAAACAGTCTCATCCTCACGGTAACTATGCACGTAAATACTAAAGAAAGGATGTAAGACATTAAGTCTCCATGAAAATAAACACCCTAGATTCAAGGGAACAGAAAGTAAAGAGCTCAATTGGAAGAGAGAGGGGCCTGCAAGTAGATTTATTTGGCAATAACTATGTCGTCACGAATAATTCATGAAAAAAACTTCATGAACAAAAAACATTAATGCCAATAGCAATGTTCTCCAGGATTTTATTTAGAAACCCAACTCCCTATAAACTGCATAAATTACATTCACTGAGATAGCAATGTAAAAGTATCATCACTTGACGACTAGCTCTATATACTACCAATAGAAATGCATGATCAAATCATGCATCATATTCATACTGAATTTGTAGTACCATTAAAACTAAATCAATATATCAAAATTGCACCTTTGATAGAACCATCAAATTAATTGACTTGACAGACCACAGATAACCCAGCAAGATCAAAACTTTATAATCCCCAACAGAAGAAAAGAAGAAGGAAATTTAACCACTCAAATTGGTACATATCGCTTCAAAGCTTGTTTTCCGGTGACGGCGAGCCCAACGAGGACGCCTCCTATTGCACCAGCCACGGCGGCCGACCTAGGCCCAGCNGCCGCCTTGTAGAGAGCCCCAGTAGCCAACCCCGAGACCACGCTGTTGACGACGTCGTCTGTGTCCCGAACCGCAACCATGCCGCTCTCGATCCCGGCGTACATCAGCCCGATAACGCCGCACCTGTTGCCGATCTGCCTACCCGCGAGACCCGACCCGTTGAGGATACGGTTGACCTTCAACTTCGTCGTGTCGGTAGGCTCGATCGCCCTGACCCCGGTGGCGAAGCCCTTGGCGGCGCCGACGGTGGCACCGGCGAGGTAGCCGATGCCCGTGTAGTAGGTGAGATTCTCCCCCCAGGAGCGGCGTTGGGCGACGGATTCCTCCTGGAATAGAAACTCCGGCGAGGTGGGGAGATTGTAAAGGGTCTGCGTCGGGAGGTGCAGATCTTGGTAAGGGTTGTAAAGTCGGCGATTTGAGCTTCTCTCATCGGCGGTGTTGCCCTGATTCGGCGATTGAGGTTGGTAGGCCATGGCGGATTTCAGGTCAAGGCGGCGCTTGGTGGTTGCCTAAAGAGAGAGGATAGAGACAGAGAAGCTCAACGTTGTCTAGGTTAAATTGCAGCTGCAGACATAGCTGACTGCTGGTTTTTCGCTGTTCGTAGCGTTTTAATAAGGCTGAACGACGTCGTTCAAGTGGAATGTCAATTGTCACGATTTGTTTACTTGCTTTCGAGGCTACTGCTGATTGGTCCTCAACTTTATGAGTCTTTGCAAATTCACCCCGGCAATTTTAGTTTTTCCCCAATAGTAGTATACTATACATCTGTTTTTAACAAAACGAGTCGCTCGTGAATAGATAAGTTGCGTTGTACTCTAGGCATCTTCAATCACTGACCTATGGCTAACTTCCTAAGCAAAGACTGTACGCTTGGTCTGAATCGTTGCTTTGGTTGACCCTTTGAAAGTAGAGGGAGTGGATGAAACTTATGAAGACCAGGATCAAGTTCACTAAAGGGTAGAGCCAGTTTCGGCTTTCGCTCCTTACCCTGGATGCTGAAGAAATGAAAAAAGCTTTTTCTTATCCTCATAAACAATATTACGGCATTACTTCGGAAAAAAGCTCGTTGATTCTAAGTAGTTATTGACCTGTCTCATGTCCAACCACAGAACAGTTAGCAGCAGGATCTTTTTCGCTTCGCTTTGTTTGTTAGGTCAACCTAAGGAAGTCTAAGGCCAAGGTCCTAGGAAAACGACTTCTTCGACAAGAGCAAAGAGAACAATAACAGCTTTCCTCCTCGAGGGTCACTATTGAGGTTTGAACTTTACTCTTTCATGTTGATAAACGATATGAGCTCGAAATAACGAGTCGAGTTTGGCTTACCTAGTTAAATGCTCAAACTCTAGTTTGAATTCACTCAACTCGTTCACATAAGTAATTGCACACTAAAAAAAAAATGTGTGGTAATTAACATTTTGGGGGTAAATTATAGGTTTGATAAAAATGCTAGACGGTGATAATTTCTAAGCTTATATGTTTGGAATAATCATTTCTTATTTTTTTTTTTTT